AAAAAAAGAGGACCAACAAAATTAACTTTTAGGCGGTTTAGCTGCTATTAACACACTCACAAATTCACCCTCAGTAACAAACACCTTCAATGGTTTAGAATGTTCTCCGGATGTGTGCCGAGCACAGAAACTTGATAATTTGTCTTTCGTAATCAGCTTTGGATCAAACACACCGTGGGTAGTTGCCCAGAAGCAATAAATCATGCTTTCAACATCTTCAAACTCCAGACCACCAGATTCCACGGCATAACTCTCGACTATTTCAAAGCCTTCAGCTGTACAAATCTCTTCAACCTTTGACCTGCTTTCGCAATGGTAATTGCTCATCAGGCGGCCAAGGTTTTGTGGGTTTAACTCCTGAAAGGCGTCGTGGAAGGATTCAGGTAACACAGGGTTGAACGAGATAACGATTTTCCCACCTGGTTTCAGGCTCTGGTACATGTTTCTGAAGGCTTCTTGTTTATCTTGGATCCAATGAAGCACAAAATTTGAGAAGACAATGTCGTAACACTCTGTACCCATCCTTGGGAAGTTCGAGGCGCTTCCTTCGTGAATCTTAAGATTACTGATTCCTTCGTGCGATTCCTGAGCTAGTTTAACTCGAGACACGTCCGGGTCCACGGCTACGACTTGTCCGTCTCGTCCAACAAGTTCCGTCAGATATGCAGACAGTTCTCCAGTGCCACAGCCTAAATCCAGGATAACACCTCCGGGGCATGGTGCAATATTTTTAGCTAATTTCATGCCAAACGATCTTTGACTGTTAGTAGAAATCTTTTGGTAACCCTTTGCTGCTCGCTCATTGTTCATCATCGTTTGCGACAGAGACATAAATTCGGGAAAGAGATTAAGTAATGTCGTGGCTGAGTTTTAACCAGGGATGCCTAGCCCGTACTTACATACTAAAGATCCAGATTGAAACATAACCGCTGACTAGACGCTCGAGTAGCGTTCACTCGGGCTTCGTATCGAGCGTTTTATTTGAGCAGTCGGCGCATTCACCACG